CCTAGGTGTGACACCTGCCCAGCTCCAGCGGCTCAGCTGCTCCGCACTGGGCCGTGCCACGCTCCAGGGGCAGAGCAGGGTCCCAGAGCCACGCTGCAGTAAGGTGCCCGCACTGCATCCTGCTCGACAGAGGCGGAGACGATGTGCATGGAGCGTGAGAAAACCCCAAGCCTGGCAACCATCCCACCCTTCTCGCCATGGCCTCTGCCCCTCTCCTGCTTCTCCCTCCTGCCCTTTTTGAGGTGAGATGATCACATTCAATTAACATTCATTGAGGGCCTACAAGGTGCCGAGCCCCGGTATCAAACAATTTTGTGGACAAGACCTTTGCTTGGCACGTGCTGTTCATTCTGCCTGGAACCTGCTTCCTCCTTTTACACATGGTGACAGCTTAAATGTCACCTTCTCAGAGAAGGGCCTGCCCAAGTGAGAATGTCCTGACGTTGTCTTAGGGCACCTAAGACGGCTCCAGGGCTTGCTCTTTCTCCAGCTGGACTCAGCTCCCTGATGGCAGTGCCCGGCACACTAGCTGGCAGTTTCTTTTTAAAAATTATTTATGTTTTTAGACAGAGGGGGAAGGGAGGAGAAAGAGGGGGAGAGAAGCATCGATTGGTTGCCTCCTGCATGCCCCCAACTGGGGACCTGGCCTGCAACCCAGGCATGTGCCCTGGCTGGAGATTGAACTGGCAACCTTTTGGTTTGCAGGCCAGTGCACAATCCACTGAGCCGCACCAGCCAGGGCCACACAGTTTCTTGAATAAATCCATTGGCCGTCAGGTAATAATAAAAGCCAGCGATTACTGAGCATGTAGTATGTGCCCAATGCTGTGCTGAGCTCCGTGCAGACGCTGGGTCACAACAGGCGCATGATGGCTGCACCCTTATCGCTCCCATCTTACAGAGGAAGGAAATTCATCATTTTCCCCCTACTTTTAGAGAATGGGAATTAGAACCTGGTAAGCAACCTGCCCAAGGCCATGGAGATAAAAGGAGGGCGAGGTTTCAAACTGCATCTCCCAGTTCCCTCCCCACGTCACCGGACTGCTCAGCTCTGTCTGTGCCTCTCTCACCAAGGCCCAGGTTCCTTTCTCCTGAGCTGCCAGTGACCACTTCTGTCCCCCTCCTGAATCCTTGGCCCCCTCTCCCAAGGTACCCAATTCAGAAGACTTCCCTGACTCCCCGACTCTCACCCCACACCCCTCAGCTCCCACACCCAACTGCCCAAGTGCCCAGCATGCGCCCCTGAGCTTGGCTTGGCACTGATCCCGTGCAGGACCCCCAGCCTTCCGACGCCGAGGCGCAACAACCAGAGCAGCTGCGTGAGTGCGGGTGGCCGGGGGCCAGCAGAGCAGGCAGGTAGAGCAGGCATCCCTCCGTGAACCCGCGTGGGACCCAGGAATTGAACCAGGCTTTCTGGGCTCCAGTTCCCACTCTCTGCCTGGTGAGCGTGGGCACATGGATGATGGACAGCCACCATAGCTCTCAAGTGGGAAAGGGAGCCGCCCACGTCTGCTCCAGATCTGTGACGTGACAAGTCAGTGAGGACCCGTGGGGCCCAGAAAGAGCTCGGGTTCCAGCACAGTAGCCGATTCACAGCTGGCCCCAGAGGCCACTTTCACTTATTTATTTATAATTTTTGTTAAATTTATTGATTTGAGAGAGAGAAAAGAAAGGTAGAAACATCGATTCGTGGTTCCACTTATCCATGCATTCATTGCTTGATTCTTCTATGTGCCCTGACCAGCGATCGAATCCACAACCTTAGCGTACTGGGATGATGCTCTAACCAACCGAGCTACCTGGCCAGGGTGACCCAGAGGCTACTTTTAGAGCAGACACCATAACAACAGTGGACTCCAAAGGCCTGTCCTGGGTCACGTGGGGTCGACAAAACCCTAAGCTGCTGGAAGAAGAGAAGGGAAAGGCAGCATGGACCTAAAAGAATGCTGATGACCGAGGGAAAGCCAAGGAGGGGAGGCCGGGAATCCTGGGAGGTCCCTGTGGTAGTAAGCGAGGGAGGAGGCAGATGATCACTCCATCCCGTAACACACTGCAGAGGACGTCACTTCCTCTATGAAATTTCAGGGCTCCCCGACGACCGCCCAGAGTCAAACTCAAACTCCTTAGCAGGGCCTTCGAGACCTTCCTGCCCAGGCTACCCCGGCCGGGTCTGGGACGGGAGGCGCTGCAGGCCTCCGCGCCTCTGCCTGGGGGCTCCCCTGCCTCCAGCACCCCTTTCTCCAGGAGCCAATGCTCCTTGTCCTCCAAGGCACAGGGCATTTAGTTTCTAGGAAGACTTCTGGGACACCCCAGGGCTAGTGGGGGAAGGACTCTGAGGTCAGACCTTCGGGCTCACAGCTCAGCTCCACTGCCCAGCCCAGCTGTGACCGCCTGGGCTATGTCCTCTGCGAAGTGTACTGCTCTCACCTCACTGGGTGGGGGCGGATGAACTGGCCACTACTTCATGAAAGTGCTTTGAACTGCGCCTGGCACACAGTAAGTGCTAAATAAACAAGCTGTTGTTCCTATTGTCCTCCGCCCCCTTAGGGCCCTCTGTTTCTTCCACAAGGCGAGCCCTGTCTCGCTTTTGTTGTCCTCTGGGTCCCTCAGCCAACCACAGCCTTTCAGAAGGACACGGGACTCAGGCCTCGCACACTGCCAGGCACGTAGTAGGTCTTCAGTGAGTACTCAATGCCCATGAGGGTCCCATGGGAGACCCCACAGAGCTCTCCCAGAGCCCAGCTGCTGGCCTTCCATAGCTCACACACCAAATCCTGTCCGAAGGCCCTGCAGAGCCGGAAGGCCTTTCCCTGTTACTGGGTTTCCAAACAATAAAGAGCTGCACTCTGCCTTACCAAGGCGGTTTCCACTCCAGGGAATTTACGGGGAGAAACGAGCACAGCAGGGACTGGAAATAGAACTCAGCCCCTCTCGGGGAGCGAGCTGGGCTGGCCCACCGAAACCAGGGGCAAAACCTCAAAGGCAGAGGGGAGAAAGCAGCTTCCAGACAAAAGCCTGAGCTCCGGAGAACACAGCCAGCGCGAGAACTAGGACAAGGAGATCATTCACACCCCATTCTGCCTGGAAGCTCTTCTTCCTACCCACCTGGAGAGCTTTAGAAGGGGCTCCTTGTACATGCCACCACCGCGTGGGAATAACTCACAGTACAGCCAGAATCCCAGGTTGCTGGTGGCTCTCAGGAGGGATTTTGCAGTGCCTTCTCCACCCACACTGGCTATCGGGGTCTCATGTCTGCATTGGGGCCACCATCTCTGTCCATCTCCCCACCAGACTGGGAGCCTCTAGCGGCTGAGCACCAGGTCTCACTGACCTTCAGACCCCTGTGCCCCTAGCAAGGTGCCTGGTATGTAGCAGATGCTCAGTAAGTTCCAAGGCAGCAAGAGAAAGGTCCGATTCCAGGATGCCTCCACCCAGGCCTGCCCAGTGCCAATAACAAGCAAGTCATGCACTCCCTCTGTGTCTCAGTTTCCTCACTTGCCAAACAGGATAACAAGCTTCATACTCACGCAACTGCTGAGAGACCGGACTGGGAAAATACATGCAGAAAGCATGTACAGTCATGCTTTCCACTTTATCAGATGAATGCTAGATACCCTTCAGGCTTCGACACAGCTGTCTCCTCATGTCATGTCCTTTCTGCTGGCCACCTGCCCCTCCCTCAGCACTAAAACCATTCTGTACAGCCTTTATTGTTTTATATTTTTCACATCTTTGTGATTCCTTGTTTCTAAGTTTGATTCCCCCACTGACCTAAGGCACTACACACAGGGGGCATCATGTATTTGTGTCCAAGGCCTGACAAAATGGGCACTCAAGCCCAGCTGCTGGGGCCCTCCCAGCCCACAGCCCCGATTCTGATACACCCTTCGACAAGTTGCCCTCACGTGCAGAGCTGATGTGCAGAGCTTCGGGGGCCCACCAAACACACAGATATGGAAGATGGGAAGGGACGATGCAAACATAACCTGTGAAGGAAGTCTCACCTGAGGCCCATGCCTCCTCTGGAGGTACAGGTGAGCCTGTTTGCCTGGCTGGCTCCGCAGAGCAAGGGCCTCCAGGGCACAGATTGATGTTTCTTGCCTTACATAATGCACCAGGCAATCAGATAAATAATACATGCCTTCGGCTCACACAGAGGTATCAGGCGTGCAAACACTTGCTTTGCCACACGGTGCCCTGGGTGTGTGTGTGTGTGTGTGTGTGTGTGTGTCTGGCTTTGCACAACCCCAGGGGGGATGTGAATTGGGAAGAGATACCCATGTTGACCCACAACCCTAATGCCTTGCCATGGCCCTGAATCAACTAGTTCTAGCCCCAAGCAGTGCACCCAGGAGGAAATGTACAACCCACAGGATGGATACACACCCCAAATCAGTCTCTATGGTCTCTTTCGAGGCAAATATCCTTAGAGTCCCAGGTTCCCATCAGTGCCCCTCCAGGTAGCTGACCTGTATGCATCCAAGGCATTTACACCCTCCATACAAGCATCCCAAAAAGCCTCGCCAGGCCAACCCACCCAGATCCCAGCCACCCGCACAAGGCACGGATGCCTCCCCCACTCACTCGGCGGTGCCAGGCGCCAGCACACCCACCGGGCGCACACAATCCCACTTGCAAAGAGGCTGTCCATCGCCTGCCGTCTCCCCCAGCCACCTCCACCGGCAGGTCCAATTACACTCCAGACGCCGGCGCCGCCACGTTGGCGAGGAGGGGGCCAGGGCACACCCACGAGCGGCCCTGCGACCCGGCAGAGAGGATAGGGGACGCAGGTCGGGACGGGCGGGGCGGCGGACGCTCCCTCCCTTCCTCCTCAGCCAGGCCGGGCCCCTTCGTCCCTTCTCCGCCCGGGATCCGCGGTCCACGCGACCCGCGGGGCGCCCCCTGCACCCAGCCCCTCCAAAACGGAGCAGATGCCCGCTCCCAAGAGCCTATAGTCGCCCCCCTCATGGCCTCTGACCCGAGGCTGGCCAGGCGGGTACCTCAGGAGCCCATGGCGGCGGTGGCGTGTGCGGGCGACGCGCGATAGCCGGACTGTACGGGTGGGGCGGACGGCACCGCAGTCGGAGTCTAGTCGCCGCCGCCGGCGCGTCCCGGACCCAGTGCTGTACCGCCGCGGTGCGCCTGCGCACTGAGCGCGCCTCCGGGGAGGGCGGGGCGGCGAACGCGCGGCTGAGGTCACCCGGGAGGCCTTAAAGGGGCCGCGCCCCAAACCTCCAGCTCGCCGCCGATTGGTGGGGTCGACCCAGGTTCTCCAGCAGTAAACCAACAAACCAGCCGAGAGTCCCCTTCCCCGCCTTAATCCGACCTTCAACCCTGCCCGCCAGGGACGGACAGTGTTTTGGACTCCAAGTTGGGTTCCAGGCACACTCTCTGGTGCTTCACTTGGGCCTGTTTTGAAGATAGAGCAATGTACTATAATGGCTATTTGTCGAGTGAAGGGTGCGTGTAGAACTGTGAAATGAATGCATACCGAAGTTCTGCGTGCCATCAGGCCAGAGGAAATTGCAAAGCAGAGAAAGAGGCTTTTTCTTCCCACTCTGCGCAGCGGTACTTCTTTCTTGCCGCACCTCGCTCTGGGCGGCCTAACTAGCAAAGTTTTTCAAATGTTATTAAGCCTCCTAGCTCATTGCTGTTTCTGGCGTTGATGTTGCTCAAGATCCCCAAATGTATACCTATCCCCAGCTCAGACTCCTCCCCTGAATTGTTGACTCAACACCTACTTGAGGTCCAATCGGCTTCTCAAAGCCAACGTGCCCACGACAGGACCTCTCTCTCCCAAACGCAGACCAGGCCTGCTCCCTCAGAGCCTCCATTTCACAGCGACTGGCTCTCTGTCCTTCCAGCGCCCAGGCCGGAAACTCCAGGAGTTGTTTTTCAATCCCTCCTTCACACTGGGGCAGGAAATCCCATTGGCTCTACCTGCAAAACATACCTAGCCTCTGACCTCTCCCACCCTGTCCCAGTCCTACCATCCTCGGTCAGGTTCTGCCCAGGATTATTGCAATATTCTTGCTATGGACTGAATGTTAGTGTGCCCTGAAAATTCAAATGCTCATATCCTAACCCCCAATGTGACCGTGTTAGGAGGTGGGGCCTTTGGGAGGTGAAAGGGTCATAAGGGTAGAGGCTTCATGAATGGGGTTAGAGTCCTTATAAAATAGACTCCAAAGAACCCTCTAGCTTTCTTTCTGTCATGTGAGGTGTCCATGTAAGAAAGTCCAAACCTGTAGAGAATGTTTATGAGTTTATTTGAGCCAAAACTGGTAACAATTGCCAGGAAGCAAGATCTCAATGCTTTGGAGAGTGACAGTTTTGCACCTTCCTTTATGCATTTGAAATTAAGGGAGGGTTAGGTGAGGAAGATTACATGAAGGTGGGAGAAAGCAAAGCAGGGACTGGATTACAGGAGAGTTAAATTTACCTGCTCTCTTGAAGGTGGTTACGCTTATTTCAAAGGTGTGTTTACCTAAACACACCAAAAGCAGTGGACAGGGCTTGCTCATGGCAAAAATAAACCTTCTACTAAAGGAGTTCTGTGCCTGGATCATGACTCCCCACCAGCACCTGCCCAGTAGGAATTTATGATCAGACCCCCCTGGGAAGTCACTCTCCTCAGAGCCCCTTTTCATCCACAGGGAACAGAAGGCGGCTGTCTGCAACCCAGGAGAGCAATCTCAGCGGAACCCACCTAGGCTGGCCACCCAATCGCAGACTTCCACCCTCCAGAACTATGAGAAATAAATTCTCTTGTTCATAAACCACCCAGTCGGTGGTATTTTGCCAGAGCAGCCCAAACTGAGCAGGGTCACGCAGTGCTCCCCTAACCTGTTTCTCTTTTTCCGGCCTTGCCTCCTGCCCTAGCCTATGTCAGTATAGGAACCAGCGGGATTCTTTTACCTAAGTCAGAACAGGGCACTTCTTTGTTCAAAACCTTCAATTGGCTCCCCATTTCACTCTGAGTAAAAGCCCAAGTCATTACCAGTCTCTGCAAAGTCTCGCTTGATCTGACATTCTACCGACCCAGGCACATCTGACCTCATTCACCGTCTTTCCGTCCATGCTGACTGACTCTTCTTGTTCCTCGGACAAACCAAGGACACTCAGCCCCAGTCCTTTGCACTGGCTGTTCCCTCTGTTGGGATCGCTGTTCCCTCAGAGAGCCAAAGGGCCCCTCTCTCACCTTCTTCAAGGTTTGCTCAAATGTTCGCCACCAGTTCAGGCCTGCCCTGATGACCCCAGTAAAATTGCCAGACCCTTCAGATGCTCTATTTTCTCCCCATATCACTTCATTTCTATCGTAGTATGTAGTTTGCCTATCTAACCAGTGGTCTTCAGCTAGTCAAACATAAACTCCATGAGGACAAAGACTTTAGCCCTTTTTGTTTCCTGATATAATCCTAGTATTTAGTACAAGGACTGGTATAGACAACATGGTCAGAGAGTATGTGTGGCGTGGACAAAGACCCTCTATAAGGAGTCCTGTAGAAAATTGTTTCCCAGAGCCCGGTGGGAAGTTGCTCAGGGCTAACCCAGCACACTAACAAGGCTTATCTTATCATCAGTTGCTTGGCAATCTTTTGTTTATGACTTCCCAGCTCTCCAGCCTTACACACAAACCCTTCCAGGGCAAAGTCTTTGTCTCAGCAATTCTGTTGTTTATGCCCAGCGCAGAAAGCTTACAAACCTGGCAGGGGCCGAGTCTGGCATCCCCGCCAGACCGGTCAGGCCACGCTGCATCCAAATTCAGGTTCTTAGCCCTGATCACCGGCTAGAGAGCTCTTGGGTCTCAGCTTACGGAGGCCCCAGGCTGGTGGGGCAGAAACAGCTGGTGAGTATTTTTAGGCTCGTCTTATTGCCTGAGAAGGGATCAAAGACAGAAAGTCACCTGGCCCAAGTGACATGGCAGACCAACAGGTGGCACTGGGACCCCCTGGATGGTTGCTCCCTGCTTTTCCTAACCCTCTCCCCAAGGCTTTCCAAAATGAAAATAAGCACCTGCCCCCGTCTTTCTAGCCTCCTCAGCAACCATGCAACATGCAACTGCACATCCACCTGGGGTCAAAGTGCCTACTTGCCTTGGTGCCCTCTCCCCTCCAAGCCTGGGGCCACTGCCCTGGTTCAGGTCCCCCTACTTGTGGACGATTGTAACAGTTCTGCAGCCTGCCTGTCACCTTTACACCTGCCCACTGGCTGCTGATGGCTTTTTCTACCTCCAGCAAACAGTCTACTTTCAAAGACCAAGTCAGATAGCATCTTTTGGTTCCTTCTTTACCCCCACCGCTCTCATTCTGTTTTGATTAGTTTCTCCCTAATTAAAAAAAAATGGGAATAATCCAAAACTCATCAAATAATAGTTAAGTAAATTATGGTAGATCCTCACAATGGCACATTGTGTAGATGTTAAAATAGCCTCTTTACACATTTCAAATAACATGGGGAAATAATTAAGAATAGCGTTGAGAAAAAAATAAAAAGCAGTAATAAATTTGCAATGACAGCCTGGTCTAAAGTCTGGGTTTTTGTTTTTTGTTTTTTTTTAAAGGCTTAGAAGAAAAATTGGAAAGAAATATAACAAAATGTTAACAGTGGGCTTCCTAAGCTACAGGGTTATGATTATTGATTACCTTCTCTTCTCCCTGTCCCTTGTTTCTTTGTATTTTTCAAAATGTGTTTCTAAAAGCATGCAATATTTTCAAAATAAGAAAAAGGATACTTTATTTTACAAAATAAAAAAAAGAATAATTTTATTTAAAAATTATAAAGGCCCTGGCTGGGTAGCTCAGTTGATTACAGCATCATCCCCAATACGCCAAGGTTGTGGGTTCAATCCCCATTCAGGGCACATGCAAGAATCAATCAATGAGTGCACAAACAAGTGAACAACGGGTCAGTGTCTCTCTCCCTCTCTCTCCCCCACTGCTGCTAAAAAATCAATAAATTAAAAAAATACATAAAGAAATGATTTCTTCTTCCTTTCCTTTTCCTTGTGCATCAATATTCATCTGAATGCACCTGTGTTCCCAGCAGATTGAGGACCTCTCAAGGGCAGGAACGAAGTTGGATTCTCTTGGCATCCAAAATCTACTCTTAGCCCCTGGCAGCGGAGTAGAGGGGAAGAGCCGAGGCTTCAGCAGTGCAAGCTGATGAGTGGCTCAGGGCCCAGGGCTCTGAGGATCCATCGACCTGCCGCCTCTGTGTCTCCTTTGTCCCCAAAGATGCTGAGGGAGCCCTGGCCAGCTGCCCTGAGCGGGCAGCGTGTGGTGCGGTGGGCAGAGCGCAGGCCCAGCTCCATTAGCTCCTAGCAGTATGCTCTTCAGCATGTGGTTTTGTCTTTGAGTCTCACTTTCCCCATCAATATGTATAAAAATGTTGGCCCAGTGCTGTGCACATAGTGGACAATCATGCTGCTATTTATAGAACATGAACATGACCGCTGAGTACCCAACTAATTTTTTACCTGAATTAGGCCCTTTTGGTTGCAATGGAGAAAAACCCAATTTAAACTAAGTTAAACAAAAGAATATCAGGAACATTAGGAATGCAAAGCAGGGCTGGATTGGAGGCCTCATATGTGGTCATTGGGACCCTAGTTCTCTCAGTCTCTTGGAGCACATGTGTCTGTGTGTGTGAGATTTAAAACTCATAGATGCCCTGGCTGGTGTGGCTCAATGGATTGAGTGCTGGCTTTCAAACCAAAGGGTTACCGGTTCGATTCCCAGTCAAGGCACATGCCTGGGTTGAGTGAGGGTCAGGTCCCTGGTTGGGGGCGTTGCGAAAGGCAACCTCTCACACATCGACATTTCTCTCCCTCTCTTTCTCCCTTCCTTCCCCTCTCTCTAAAAATAAATAAATTCTTAAGAAAAAAAACTCACAGAAAATTTCTGGAGTCAGGAGAACAGGTGCTCACACAGAGGGCACACAAGGACTAGGTCTTAATCATCTTTGCATCCCCAGAACCTGGCACACAGGCCTGGCATTAGTGTCTGCTTCTTCCCTGTTGTTTATTGAGCATTTACTATGTGCAGGCCACGTGCTAACCTCTTTATTATTTCAGCAAGTGGGAGTGACAGTCATTAGGCGGATGAGGAAACTGCGGCGCAGAGAAGCATTATTACTTGGCTAAAATCACATCTTGAGCAGCCTGGAACAGAGGAGGCCCCCACAGGTGTTTGGCAGATGAACCCAGGACCCCCACCCGCCCCCACAGAGACTAGGAACACCAGGCAGCAAGAGAAAATGCTTCCGACTGCATGGAGAGGGGACCCTCAGGGCTCCAGTGGCCATCAGCAAGGAGAACAAGGCCGTTCTGGAGGGTACATCGGAGGTGTGTGGGTGAATCGGGGATGAGGCCGGTGGCGATTAACAGGCTGCTGTGAAAGAGCCTGAGTTGGAGACACAGAGGGAGCTTCCGTTTTGTCTGTCACACACAGGGACCTGCACCTTGAACACAGGTGAGATGAGTTCCCCTTCAAACCTACCTGGCTGACACAAACGAGCAAATGAAAACAGGCCAAAGAGAAGGATGTGCTGCCCGTTTCCTTGGAGTCATTAGGAACGTGTTTCAGATTCCTTAGGGAATCCCAGCTTGCACCAGCTACCCCGGAGCCTCTGGTCAGGGGCATGCAGGGAGCTTGGGGAGGCAGCGGCCAGGGTTTTCTCAAATAGGTCTTTTCTCAGAGGGAGGAGGGGAACAGAGAAGGAAGCAAAAGGCCTGGGTGTCCCAGGCTCAGAGTTCCAGTGATCTGGGATGACTTCAAAGGGGCCCCACCTTAATCACGGGTGCTTTGAAGATGCTGGGATGAAAGGCCTTGGGAAGCCTTATTACCTGGGATTTTCCCAGGGGCCTGCTGGAGCCCTAGTGACCATCTGCTGCGATCTGTTGGGGATGGGTGGGCCCCTAGGAGTCGGGGACCTTCTTAAAGGGCAGTTCCCCAGGGACCCTCTGCTTTCCTCCCGTAGCTGCTGGATAGACTGCGCTCCCATCCCATCAGCCTCTTCGGCTGGGCCCGCAGCCTCAGTGAAACCAAGCTCTGGATGTGCAGCTTCCTACACCTCAATGGGCTACAGGATGTGGACTCACACAGAACAGTTGGGACAACAGAGAGATGCTTTCGGTGCCCCAAGGCTAGGGTGAGAGAAGTGGGGGCGGGGAGCAGGCCAGAGGAAGAGGAGGAGGGGGAAGGTGGCTCCGTGTTGCCATGGCAACATTTATCCTGCACACCACCAGACCCCATCTCCCTCACCAGCCCACGTGTTGGCAGGGAAACAGGGCCCCAGAGAAGTGTGGCTGGAGAGGATGATAGATGTCTGAGGACCGGGCGGTGCCAGGCTGGACCTTGGAGTGTGTTTACTCCTCCGAACGATTAGATGTTCCTGGGGCCGCCTGCATTGCAGGCTCTGGGAAGGAGGGTGCGGCGTGTGGGCTCAGCACTCTCAGCTACTATTTTCATATCTGTTTCTAAACTAGACTGTGGATGGGGGAGGGGAAAGGGAGACAGAACACTGGAGTAGAAGGTGTTTCCCTTTGCTAAAGCTACGCTGGGGCCGTCCCATTGGAGCTGACCTCCCGGGTCTTTCCTTATGGGAGGCTCTGGGTCGGGGAGGGGTGGGACATCAAAACGAAGGCAGGAATGGAGAGGGGGTGCCACCGCCTAAGAAGGAGCATCCCAGTGACAGAAGGGACTATAGGTGATGAGGAGCACAGGGGAAGTGACTGGAAGCTTAGCCCTTCCCTCCGTCCCAGGGCAAGTCCCGACCCTCCTTCCCCAAACCCCCTGCGCCCGCGTCACTAATGCCCCTCCTCCAGGGTTCTCTGGCCTCCAAACACTTGCAGACCCGTCAGGCCCCCTCCTACCAGTGGACCAGCCCCGGGAAGCAGCTCTGCTCAGGCCTTCCTCCTCCATCAATCTCCTTGCCCACGGCCTCCCTTCTCACTTCCTTCCTATTCTGATCTACCCCGGGGTCAAGAGGTCACCTGTGGAGAGAATTTAGAAGAGTGGTGTCCTGTGTGTGTTGAGGTGGAGGGGAGGCAACATTGCATAGGAAGGGACACGGGGAGACTTGGAGTATTGACAGTCACCTACATCTTTATCAGGTGGTGACTGTGCAGACGTATAGAAACAGGTAAAAAGCTGTGTGGCGCTGTGCGCTCAAAACGTGTGCATTTCTCTAAATTATGCATCAATGAGAGAATAAGAAAAGGTACTAGGGCAAAAATGGTCAGCCAGGATCTCTTTTTGCCGGCCTTGCCCCTTCCACGGCTGTGCCGCTGAGGCCGTGGAGCACGCCCTCCTTCCTGATGCCCCGCCCCCCAGCTCGGCTCCTCCCCGGCTGGCCGCCCCTCCTCGGTTTGGAGCCAAGAATCCACCGCTCCCCATGCTGTGCACCCAGGTGCCCCGCCGGTAGCCGCCGAGCCCCGGCACTCCTTACTCCCTCTCAGTTGGCTAAGAACAGACCGCGTTCCGAACCAGTCCAATCCTCCTCCCCTCTGGATGCCTCCTGCCTCTGCTCCAATCCCCCACCCCCAGCCCAGTAAGCTTCTCCACGCCTTTCAAGGCTCAGGTCAAAGATCTTTGAAACTCCTTTCCTCAAGACACTAGACACATCTTCTCCCTTCTTCGTTCCCAATTCACACTGGATTCTGAACTGGGATGAGCCCTGTGCTAGTCTGAGCCTTCCCCTGAGTAGGCTGGGAGCCCGTAGAAGCCCCTAGAAGCCAAGATCATACTCTGTGTTTGAAACCCATCAGTACAGAAGGTGAAGGGATTAAGAAGTACGAATTAACAGTCACGGGGATGCAAAGTACAGCACAGGGAATACAGTCAATAACATTGTAATAGCTGTATATGGTGTCAGATGGGTACTAGATTTACCGGGGGGGTCACTCCGTAAGTTATATAAATGTCTAATCGTTATGTTATACACCTGAAACTAATATGGTATTGAGTGTGAACTGTAATTGAAAAATAAAAATAAAAAAGAAATACGTAGTTACCACTACTGAGCACTCCATAGGCTGTGGAGCCAGCCAGTCTTCCCTGTGCCTCAGTGTCGTTTATAAAATGGGCATCACAATACCCCTGCCTCAGGATTTTTATGGGTACAGGCTTGGGAACAGGTCCGGGCACAGCAAGCTCTTAATTAACCCAGCCTACTGCCGTCTGAAGTAGGTGTCACCCCCACTGCAGAGGACACCAAGGCCCAGACAACGCCCAGGGTCACGGGGCCGAGCTGGCCCTGTGCCCTCCAGCCCTGCGCTCCCCACCTCCCACCCCTGCGCCCCGCCCCCCCTCGGCCCAGCACCTCGCATCCCGGACCTACGGGAGCCCAAGCCATGTTTGTTGCACGAATGAAAATGACTCACCACGTGGCAGCTTTGCCCCTATCCAGTCTGAGCAAAATTTCCTGGTGATTGTTGGCGTACGTGAGAGAGGGAAACACCGGCTGGCTGCCTTCTGCACACGCTTCAGTCACAACCGAACCCACAACCTAGGCATGTGCCCCCACCAGGAACCGAACCTGCAACTCACTCCAATCAACTGAGCCTCACCGGCCATGGCTAGTGAGTCTAACTTTTTTTATAGCTTCATTTTTGTATATGTAATCCCCAAAAAACAAAATTAAACCAAAAAGGGGGAACACAAACTCATTAAAATCAATAAAGATCACCAAAGGGTGATTTCAAGTTACTTCTGGGAACTGTACCCTAATAGCACATCCTCAGTGAGAGAGATTCTAAGGAAAAGTTGGTGATTTCACTTAAGTGTTTGATGTCAGAGATCCAACTAGAGAGGTCCTGGGGGGCGGGGCAGCCTGGTGGGGTCTGGGATCAGACTATCATAATCACCCCACCCCAGGGAGGTCTTCCTGGGACTCACCCCTTCAACTCGGGGCCCTAAGGCACTTCCTGGCTTGAGTAACACACCCCCATCCCTAGAGGCTGTGAATAAGGACCTGCCTTTGCCTAAACCTCCCCTGGAGGGCCAACAGGGGACCCTCCCCAAGCCAGGCTGTGAGGTCACAGGATCTTCAAATGCCAGCACTGGAAGGGACCCTAACTATAGGGCTTCTGAGCTATGCCGAGGGCTTCGGAATACCTAGCTGCAGCCTCACAGAGCCCGCCAGGCGGAGGGCTGCCCCATACCAAGGATTGGATGAAAGAGCCACCCAAGGTCACCTGCCAAGGTCACCTGCGGCAGGGGCACCGTTGAGACCCCACTCCAGTGCCCTTGCTTGAGGGGGCTCCTTGGTCAATGGTGGGGGGGGAGGGGTTCAAATCCTGGTTCTGCTACCAGAGCTGTGCAACCTTGACCCAATTATTTCACCTGTTTCCCACTTGAAGGCAGAGATGAAGGGACCTAACGAGAATTCTTGTGTGGACAGGATGATGCTATGAAAAGCCCCACTAATAGAAGCTTCCTGGTCCGTGTGGTCCCCGGCCCTGGGCAACCCCTGGATCTCATTAGGATGCAGACTCCCGGGTCCCGCCCAGGCCTCCGGGGTCAGAACCTCCCCCACCACTGTGGTCTGCATACAGTCTCTGAAGCATCGGTTTAATCCCCAGCCAGGCGTCTCCCCGCCTGCTGGGGAGACGCCCCCAGAGCAAAGAGGTGAACCGAGGGCGGCCCACGTCACTTTATCCTTTTCTACTTTATTACTTCAAATTAACAACCACAATAAAGCTCAAAAAAGTCCAATATTTACACAGGAAAAAAGTACAAAATTCCCCCCAAAGTTCTTCAGTATTTTTTTTTTTCAGTTTTTTAAATTACAAAGTTATAAAAAGCTTTGCTCTTTAATTAAAAAAAAAAAGAAAAAGAAAAAAGGGGAAACGGAGGTAAATAAATTAGGAAATACACACATGGGAAAAACAAACAAAAATAAGAAGGGGTGTTAACTAGGAGGGACGGACAAAGCCAAGGCCCAGCCTTGCCCCAGGCTCCTCCCCGGAGGCAGGTGCAGGGGAGGTGGCCCAGGGAAGGGTCAGGACCAGGAAGTCAATTCATTTGTAACCCGGAAGCTTTCTGGAAGGCATCTCCAGGAAAGGGGGACCGGGCTGCCACAGGGTGATGACAGGCTGAGGGGTTGGTGGTGGCAAGGACACTCTGGTGCCCTTCCTGAGACACAGAGGCTGCCACCCACCCGTGTCCCTGTTGGGGGGTGCGAACAGGTGCTTGGCCTGGCAGGTGGGGCGGGCCCCCGCTGTCCTGGGAGGCACAGGTCACATACATAGACGCACGCACACGAGGGATCTCGGCCCCCGCCACCGTGCCACCTACTACTTAAAGTCCCTGTGGAAAGGCAAAGAAAGAGCCAAATGTTCAGGGGGAGGACACTGGAAAAAGCCCACGCAGAAGGTCAGCCACTGCCACCTCAGGGCGTGGGGGCTGTGCTTGTCTCCGGTGGTTCTGAAGCTCAAGAACACCTGGTGGGACCTGCCCCCAACCAAATGAAGGATCGCACCACTTCAGGCTCCTCAGGCCGCCTCCGGAGGGCCAGGAAGAGCCTCGCGGCTGAGCTGCTCCCTCCCAGCCCTGTCAGCGCCCAGCACGGCCTCCTCGGGGTCTGCTGCATGCAGCCCAGTGTCTGGGGAGCCTTTGGCAGCCTGAAGGCAGCGGGGAAATGTGAAGGGACAAGAATCCTCGGTGCTGAAGGCATCTCATCTTCTTGCCGTTGGCAAAAATAAAAAATAAAATAAAATAAAAAAAGGAAGAAGAAGAAAAGAAAAAAAGAAAAACAAAATCCATCGTCGCTTTTGTGCTGGGTTTTTTTCTTTTTTGTCCTTTTGAGTGGTTTTTTCCCCCCATCTTTTGGTTGTTTTTTTTTTTAGGAAGAAAATACAGTGAAGACACTAAAAATGAGAGAAAGAAGACAGATCAGAAACATATCTGCTTCTGGCCGCCCCTCTGCCAGACCCCCTTTAGCTTCTGTCTTCTTCCCGAGTCTCTGGGCTTGGTCCCCTCTAGGGCACACAGCGGGCTCTCCATTTTCACAGGAAGAACACAATCTTTCTCCCTCTCTGTCCTCTTGGTGAGCAGCTACCCAAGCCACACAGGTGCCACAGACGAGCGTCCCAGCTCTATCTGTACAATGAATTTCCCAGGCGTGAGGCCAAGCCTGTCATGTCACCTTCTCTCGGGAGCTCAGACCTCCCCTGCCACCTCCCCTTCCCCAAGCTAGACCCAGTGTGGAGAGTTGCCACACACCACCTCAAGCCCTCATGCAGCCACGGACGTCCCAAGAGGCTCACGCTGGCCAGAAGGCCTCTCTTGGGCTTGTGGAGGCCAAGGCCTTCTTAGAAGGCAGATCACCCGCTAAGTATGTGGCCCTGTTCTAAGTGCTTTGAAGAATTACCAGTTTAACAGCCTGGAGGCTGAGATAAGTCTAATGCCCCGGGGAGGTCAAGGTGTGGGCGCTCAGGCTCCATCTCTGCTAGAAACCAGCTTTCCGGGATGTGTGCAGGCAAAGGGGGCGTGGAGGACTGGCCCACGGTCAGAGAAAAGGTTTTCCAGCAGCAAAGAACGGACGGGGGGCCTGCTTGGAGGAGGCCTGGACCGTAAGACCAGGTGCCTCTGAGGTTTTAAACTCCCTTGAAGGCCCTTGGTTCCGGGGTCCCTGATGCCACCTGCAACTCCCCCTGCACTTCCATAGCACACACCGGTCCCCTCCTAGGGCCACAGGTGTTTCCAGGTCTGGCAGAGCTGTGCCTGCCCAGCCATCAACTCACCTAAGCAATACTGGTCCGCCGGTGGCTCCTCCTCACTTCCCGAGGTGGTCAAACGGCACGCTCGTCTGCGAGAGGGGAGGCAGAGAGGTGGGGGGTGGGGGGCCTCAGCTGCTGGCCCTACCCCTCCCCTCTCCCCTCAAAAGGCCAGTCTCTCCCCTCTGTGGACTCCGCCCCACTCCCACCAAGACCCTAGGGCCGAGGGAAGGGGTATGTGATCTCCATGTGACCCCAGGGCCTCGCTGCTCTGTAGATAAGAGCATTGCTCAGAGAGAGGCAAGGCAGCTGCTCAGGCCACTCAGGACCAGAGTCTGGCCTGGCCACCGCATGCCGAGCCCTTGGCCTGTCCTGCTGAGGCTTCTCCGCTGCAGACAGGAAGACCAGAGCAAGTCTCCTGCCCTCCCCCGCCACCAGGAGTCCTAACTTGGCCAACCAGGGTTTCCCCCTTCCCAATCTTCCTAATCCCAACATGGCAGCTGAGTGTGGCTACTGACAGGCCCCGCCCAGCCCTGCATCCTGTGCCAACCGGGGCTTGCAGAGGCTTCCCAGCAGCAGGGACTCTGAGCCCTCCCGTGAGCTCCCTGCTGCCCACCCGGGCGGGGTCCCTGGCAGCGAGGGCTGGATCCCAGCACCACCACTTGCTGGGGGAAGTGACTTCTGATTTTGCTCACTGGGGCTAATCAGACCCCGTTGTATTAGACGAGGCCAAGGCCCTGCTCAACAAAGGGGACTTGCTCCAGGCGGGGGAAGAGGATGACCTGTCCTGACTCCGAGCCTAGGGGGTCTTAGGCTCAGCTGCGAGGCACAGGAGGGCTGGGAGAGGGCGGCTCACCTGTGAGGCTGAAATCCGGGAAACCTCCTGCCGCCCAGTGAGGTCGGAGGACGAAACGTTGGCGGGGGCGCCCCTGTGCAGCCTCATGCTCACCTTCCTCTCTCTGTCCACCCGTGAGATCGCTCTGGGAGAAGTATTGCCTGCAGCGGGAGGCAAGGCAAAGTCACCCACCCTTGGCGTCCAGGGCCGGCTGCCTGGCACCCCTGGAGCCCAGCCACCGGCTGAGGCTCCTACTCACCAGCTTGCTGGATGCGGGAGGCTGGGGTAGAAGCCACAGGCTCTGCAGCACTGCGGAGCCGGTTGGCGGTGGCCCCCGTGGGCGGGCCGGGGGGCAGGGCCCGGGTCGCAGAGCCCCGGAGCTGCCCCATCCTCTCCTCGCGCTCGTGCTCTCGCCGCTCCCGGTCCACGTCCTCGGGATTGCGAGCTGCACCCTGTGGGGACGCAAGATGAGACCTGGTCAGCCCTGCAAGGTCAGGGTGCTTCGGGGTCCCCGCGGCACAGAACAGGGGGAGGGAGGCCAGGCAGGCATGTTGGGGAAGAGGCACCGCATAAACCCTCTGGTCCAACCTCCTTCCCACAGAGCAGGCAGCCCGAGAGGCCTGGAGAGGACCCACGATCGCACACCAGAGAAAGAGAACCACAGGCTGCCCAGAGGGAGGAGGAAGCTGGACGCGGGAGGTGGAGGGAGGTCACTCTGTCCTGGTCTTGTGGGGCTGGTCAGGGCTAGGAGGGCTGATGCCCTCAGGAGGGCTGAGGGCACTCCTTGGCCCTCCCAGCCTGGGCCCGCTCTGTGGACAGAGAGGCCCCAGCCCCTCAAGGTTTCCCAGTGGAGCGGGGCAGATGTTCAGAAGCGCAGAAGAGTTACAAGGCTGGCCAAGGCCAGGCCGGGACTTGAACCAGGCCTCCCAGCAAGGGGGTCTTTTCAAAGGGCTGTCCGGCCCCTGTCCCCCGCAATGGCTCCTGGCAGGTGCTGTGGGGCCGCCACCACACAGACACTGCCTGCCTTGGGATGGGAGCTCAGGGGAGCTGGAGAAGGAATGGGCTAGAAGCCCCATGAAAGAAAAAGACACCGAGCAGGCAGGCTGGGGCGAAAAGGGATGCATGAGCCCCCAGGGGCCCTGCCATCCAGCCGCTGCCACCCCAGTGCAAGAGGAAAGGGGCAAGACACAGAGAGAGGGGCACGGCGTGGGGACAGTGCCTGGCCGTGTTACCTAGTTGGTCCTGGGGTCGTCCGCAGGGAAGGGCGGGGGGCTGGCATGAGGGGGGCCGCATCTGTGGAGGAGAGAGCTGTGGGCTCAGTTGGGGCCTGCTCACGGGCCATGGGGGGCGGGCTCCTGCAGCCCCATGTGCCCCCCGGGAACTGGCCGACAAGGCCCTGCTATCTCTGGAAAGTGGGGGTGACGGCTGCCTTTCAGCAACTCTGGGAGGTAGCAGCTGGGGATCAGAATGATCCCTGAATCCTGGTGACGAACCGAGGCCCCGAGAGGGCCACCCTGGGGCCACCCAGCTCAGGGCAGAGCTTGAGTGTGAACTCAGACCTTTGCCACCCAGTCCTGCTCTGCCTTCTGCAGCCCCAGAAGACTTCGCAGAACATTCTAGAATAAAACAGCCCCAGTCCTCCCACCCACAGGCCTGCCCAGGCAAGCAGGCCGGGAACCACCGAGGCGCCACCTCTGGACCTGCAGTCCTCTCCCTGCGCCCCGCCCACTCAGTGCCAGGCTGGCAGAGCAGCTCAGCCGGAACCGCAGCAAAACCTGAGCGAGAAGGGCTGTGGCACCCACTCGTGAGCCCTCCTGCCGGCAGTAAGAACCCATTCCCTGGGTGGGGGCACCAAGTGATCCACTCGAGTGCACCGCCCCTGCCCCTGTGACCTGGCGGGCTCAGGCCAGGGCCAGCCCCAGGCAGAGGGCGAGCTCCCCTCCATGTTTCCAATCAACCCAAGCGACGCCTCAAGGAGCACATACCAGGAAGGTCTCCTGGCTTTTATTTGCCCACAAGAAAACACAAGGTAAGCAACAAAGCCACCGCCCGCGCTGTGTAGACCCATCCTTGGCTGTGTCCAGTTTCTTCCCGGCCAGCTGGCCGGACCTTGGGACTGTGGCTGAAAGCAGCATCCCAGGCTCCCGGTGTCCAGGGACTCCAGGGCCCTGACACTGAACGCGAGGGGGCGACCACGCCAAGGAGGGGACGCTCTCAGTCACGGGCAGGATCCTCCCTGCAGGACGGTCCAGGCTGCCGTTGGGTGCTCGCGAAGGCTCCCTGCAGGGGTGGTGGTGCGGGGTGGGGGGGGGGGGCCCTGGCTTCGGGGCGGGCAAAAGGCATGCTGGGTCTCCATCGCGTGTCACAGATGTTCTCGCCGGAGGGTGACGGCAGTGGTCGATGGGTTTAAAGGTGCCCACGTATCCAGTCGGATGGCCTTCAAGTCCGAGATCAGCGCAGGGTGAGGCTGGCAGCACCCTGCTCAGCCGACTCCGGAGACAGCAAGGGTGCGGAGGGTGCTCCTGGCCAGGCTGGAGGTGCAATCTTGTCCACTGGGTGGTCCCATGAGGGGCTCTGCGAGGAGCCATCGAGGGGGAGCACTGTCCCAGGGAACGCCTTGGGACGCTGGGCACGTCCCTGTCTGCCTCGCCAGGTATGGTAGCCTCTAACCTGCCACGTGCGACTCCCGAGAACTTGAAATGTAACAAGTGCAACTGACAAACAACATTTTCAGCTCTGATTACTTTTAATTAATTAAAATTTAGCCACATGGAGCCAGTGGCTGCCACATGGAATGACACAGGCCTGGACAATACAAAACCCATTTTTCAGTGCTGTACTCCGAAGGGCCAAGCCCATCCCAGAACTGGACTCTGGAGCACCTTCTTGCCCGATGAGCGAGGGCCCTGCGGCCAGACTCCACAGCGATGCCCTGAGCAAGGGGAGCTGGCCCCGGGCCCTCGCCCGCGCCGCAAGCTGAAAGGTCTGAGTGGAAGGTGTCCCCCTGCCCCTCTCCAACACCCTGGCAAGGGGTCCTCTGGCCTGTGGAACCCTCATCCTCTGCCCAACTTCTGTCCCACCCCTTAGGGAACATGTACAAGGCCACTGTCTGAGACCTAGAGAAGAGGGGTCCAAGGCCACGCGCTGCCCCGGCATCCTGAATGGCAGAGTGGGCAGAGGGCCCGCGATGACAGAGGAGGCACGCTAGAGCGAGGTGCGGTACGGGCGGGGGACATTTAATGAGTTCAGGCTCAACACAGAGGCCGCGGACTCTCCTGGTGCCCAATCCCAGGCCTCTCCTTCAGGCGCAAAGAGTATCATCTCTCCTTCAGGCTCCATCCATCGGGCAGCCGCTTCATCCCCAAGAATCTCTGGGCAGGGCCTTCTCCGCCGCGCCCTCTCCATTGACCCCCACCACCAGGCCAAGCGACAAACACCTCCTCAGTCCCGGCCCCGATGGGCTCGGGCACGCTTGGTGTTATCAGAAATGGGGCCCTGGAGTCCAGGCCATAGGCCAGTAGTTTGGGGGGGGCATGTCCTCCACCTCCTCCACCTCCTCCGCCAGCCTATCTGGAGGGCCCTGTGTGCCCAGGGGCGCCGGGCACCTGGAAGGGACAGAGAAGGCACAGCAGAAGCTCAGCCTCTCGTGCTCACCCAGGCAAGTGGTAAGTCTTTGGAAGGCCGGGCCTCGGAGGGTCCTTACCAGCATGTGGATGAGTACGTGGGCCCTGCACGGGGACAGGGGCGGGGGCGGGGGCGGGGCAGTGCGATAGCTTCGCTGTCACGGGGCCGAGTCTGGCTCAAGGAAGCCCCCTTTTCCAGAAGAGATGTGAAACAAGTCGTACGATTTCAGATTCCAGAGATCCAGGCGCAGCTGACGACCGCTTCTCCCCACCCCCCCACCCACTCTCAAAAGAGGGAGACAGAAGAGCCACCCAGTAAGGCCCAGGGTCCCGTGACCAGGAAGAAGGAGACCACACTGAATGGATCCAGGCTGGCCAGAGGGGCAACAGTGAAGGCGGCCGCCTGGGGCATACAGAACAGCAAGAGCAGGATGGTGTAGGCAACGATCATGAGAGCAGGGGGGCCCACCAGCGCCATCCACGCCCGGCTGTGGGCGCCTAGGAGGGACTGGAGGCCCAGCCAGGCCCTCCTGGGTCTGCGGAGAGGCAGCGCCCTGCCTGGGCCCTGCTGACCGTAGCAGTACGTGCCGTCAGCATCGATGAGGCAGGAGTGTGGGAAGTGAGGGGGCTCTGGGACCCTGGTAAAGTCACTGGCACAGTCCAGCTCATAGCTGCCCATTTTGGGGAGCCCCGCCCACCACCGGGTCACTTTGGCCTTCTCGGTCAGGGCCTGCCCCGTCCAGTCCCCCAAGCCCGCCTTGGCCTCCAGGTGACTCACGAATTTGAGCATGTTCCAGTCGAAGACGTAGTCGTAGGAGAAGCCCTGCCGGTGGAAGAGGTTGCGGAAGAGCTGGCGCAGGTACGAGTAGTCGGGCTTGTCGTCGAACCGCAGGGAGCGGCAAAAGTTGAGGTATGTTGAGAACTCAGCTGGTGGGGGTTAGGGGACAGAACAGGCCGCTGTGAGGCCCACGCCCCCAGGGCCCCCGCAGCCAGCAGCTGTCCTGCCCGCCCGCAGTCCCTGCAAATACTTTCAGTCGGGGGGAGGGGGCAGGCAGGGGCAAGGCAGGAGAGCACCAAGGCTCTCCCTAAGGGTGTGGCAGCCTGACTTGCCCAGCAGAGCCTCTGAGGGAGGGACCTGAAGACCGGGAACAACAAGAAGCAAGCGTCCCCTGTCAGTGAGGTCACAGCTCTTGGCGGGCTCTTGTCAAGCACTCTAGCTGTCATAAACTCAAAGGACAGTCAAGAGCCCGGGGGAAACTCTCAACGTGCCCTCAGCCACAGGAGGGAGACTTCCATTTCCTCCTCTGAAAATCAGGGGCAAGAAGGGGGCCTTTGTAAGTAACAAAAAACTATATATACACTGGTCCCTGCCCCTGAGCTCCTCAAACCCTGGTCATTTCCCATAGGGTAAAACTATCCCTTGTTCTAATATTTGGTCTTTGACCCCGCCCCCAGCACAGGGCTCCCAAAACCTTGTAGATTCTAAGGGGCAGGGGCATCAGGAACATTTTGTGTTCTAATGAGGTGGCTCTGGGTGGGCTCGAGAGACCCAGCGGCGATTAGAATAGAAGCTTGGAATCTACAGCCCCTCCCTGCCCCACCCAACTTCTGTGGAGAAGGGGAAGAGCTAGAAATGGAGTTAATAACTAATCGTGCCTGTATGAGAAGCCTCCATGGGGTCCTGCAGAAGACCTTCCGGGTGGGTGAACACAGCCACACCAGGAGGGTGACACAACCCAACCTCACCCTCCTGGACCCAGGACCCACCCCATCTCGCCCTGCATCTCTCTCCATCTGGCTGTGTGTCTGTGCCCTTGACCATATCCTTCAATAAGCTGGTACACGTGTTTCCCTGAGTTATGAGCTGCTCTGGCAAATTAATCAGACTTAGGGAGGGAGTCATGGCAACCTCAGAGTTACAGCCAATCGATCGGAAGCATAGGCAGACTCGCGACTGGTGTCTGAAAAGTGTGGTGGGAACAGTTGTGCAGGACACAGCCTTTACCCTGTGGGATCTGACACTGTCTCCAGTGCCTGAATTGAGCCAAATGGCAGGACACCCAGCTGGTGTCGCAGAGAATTGCTTGGTAGGGGTGGGGAACACCCACACATTTGGTGACCCAAAGTATCAGAAGTCAAGTTCCCGGGAGGGAGAGGAAAGGAGGCTCAGGAGGAGGACAGGCCGCTTCTTCCTAATACTCAGCCCCAGGGGATGAGGCAGGGGCGTGGGCCGGGGATGCGGAGCGTTTCACAGACAGGCCTCTCGCCTGCCCGCGCAGTGACAACAGGCCCGTGATGCATGTCTGGTGTCAGGGACAAGGGGAGCCTAAAAGGGACTCTGTGTGGCCTCAGCTTCCCCTCAGGAAGGGCCCCAGGCCAACCCCTCCCCCTGCCGGGCTACTCACAGGGGTAGCCTTTGCAGAGGACCTCAATCGGCGTGGACATCTTCTTCTCGCTGATCCGCTCATACTTCTGGCGTTTGGTGGCTGCTTTGAGGCCCTGCCACGGCAGGGAGCCCAGGTTGAAGTACATGAGCACATAGCCCAGACTCTCCAGGTCGTCTCGGCGGCTTTGCTCTGCACAGAGGGACAAGGCGAGGGCCAGGGCTCACTCGGGCTCCTGGGGTGCCCCCAGACGGAGGGGTGCGCCCGCACTCCCGGCACCGTCGCATGCTGCTTCCCGCAGCCCTGCCCCCGACAGGCCCTCGATCACGCCTTCTGCAAAGAGGGAGCCCGAGGCCGAGCTTTCTCAACCCGCTCTGGGCCCAGTTTTTCCAGCGCAGGCGCTCGTCCATTCGGCAGCTATGGAGTTGGCACCCCTGGTGCCTCCTCACCTGGCCCGCCTTGTGGATAGGGCACAAGCTGGGGCACCAGACAGGGCTGGGGTCCAATCTGGCTCTGGCACTTGCTGAGCCGCACGACCTTAAGCAGGACCTGTGTTACCCCTGTGAGCCTGCATTACCCACCCTGTGAAAAAGGGGAAACTTCCCCGCCCATCTCCCCGGCCGCTGTGAGGAAGTCAAGCATGAGAATGTGCTCGCCACCCGCAGCTCTTCTCTGAAAGGGGAAGGCCTGGCTTTGGGGCACAATGGGGCGCCATCCCGGCTGCAGGACGCCGGGCACTGGCCAGCAGCCCGTGGGTGCGCGCTGCCCCCGGGCCTCGCTCACTCACCGATGCCCAGGTGGGTGTTGATGGAGGCATAGCGGGCAGTGCCAGTCAGGTTCTTGTTTTCCCGGTAGGGGATGTGCTGGTGGGTGCGGGCGTCCCGGTACTTCTTGGCCAGGCCGAAATCGATGATGTACACCAGGTTGCCCTTCTTCCCCAGCCCCATGAGGAAGTTGTCAGGCTTCACGTCCCGGTGTATGAAGTTCTTGGAGTGGATGTACTCTATGCGGCTGATCTGGGGGAGGAGAGGGGACAGCAAGTCACTCAGCGATCACCCAGGGGCAGTGGGAGCCCAGAAGGGCCTTCACCAAGTGCTGTGGGCCAGGCCCTGGATGGTGGGGGTGGGGCTGAGGGTTGGGGCTATCGAGAAGGAAACCATATGCATGGTCCTTGCCCTGAGCAGAGGGAGAAAGATGTCTGCCACCGTATGAGATGATTTTGAGGGGCAGGTCAGGGAAGGCTTCCTGGAGGAAGTGTCACTAGAGAGGAACTCCTGAAGGAAGTCACTCAGTCTGCTGTGAGTCAGGAAAAGACAGCAAGGTGCTAGGAAAGCTAATGACAAGGCCTAGAAATGAGGCCTGGAGAGGCATCCAGGCCCCTCCAGAAGCCTCTCCTGTCTGGCTTCACACCCTCACAGGACTTAGGGAGTCGAAGTCAGACAGGCACTTTGGAGGTTGCTCTGGCAACCAGATTAAAGGGAAGGAAAGGAGAGGGAGCACCAATACAGCCTAAACTTAGCAAGGGTGATAGAAACGAAGCACAAAAGACAGAATTTATCCCGTGGCTTCCAAAATACATCAGAGTCAGGCAGACATACAGGCCTTTCTTTGAACAATTTGTTTAAAAAAAAAACACCAGAACCCTAAATGAACATATATGCACGCACTCTGTCCTCTGGCAGGCCGGGCCCTGTGTGGACCTCAGTCTTCTGTAACGCCAAGGCCCCGTCTGGGGTGGCCAAGTAGTCCCCAACCCCTTGCACTCTCGGTCCTAAGGGAATCTGACCACTGCCCCTGCACACGCACGTAGCCCAAAGTCTCAGGACACTGGTACTTCCTGCAGGCCGGCCACAGACCCGTTCTCCCCACACCAAGATCTCCATGTGCCATTTCAGGGCCCAAAGTCCATGCTTTTACACGTTTTCAAAGTTTTCCTCCTTTGAGTTTACAAATGGCTTTAGGAACTACAGATGGCTGGCTGGTCGGTGGGTGCCTGCTCTGCACTAGGCACCACGCGGGATCCCGTGTGACCCCACAACAACCCAGCCAAGGACAGGTTCTTCCCTGAGGTCACCGAGGCCTGGAGAGCCTTAACTCGCCCACGGTCCCCACACTGGGACAGGAGTTGGGTCAGTGTGACCACAGACTTTAAAGTCACCAGAGGGCAGAGTCCTAGGCCATACCTACTCCTGCAGCCCCACATGGCAGGTCTGAAGCCAGGCCTGGACGTGCACTGAGCCCCCTTCCGATTCTACAGCCCGAGGTTAAGGGTCCCGGGCCCAGGAAACAGGCCCATCCTAGGCCCCCGTTACTGCCTCCTACCCTGGCACCCTCCAGAGGCAGGAGCAGGGCTGGCACCTGCGACCACCAGCACAAGGGAGAAGCAGGGGCTGGGAGGGAAACGACAGGCCCGGCGCAGCCCCCGGCTCCCCCCGTCTAGAGGCCGGCAGGGGGCTCACCATCTGGTCAGCCAGGAGCAGCACCGTCTTGAGGCTGAACTTGCGGGAGCAGAAGTTGAAGAGGTCCTCGAGGCTGGGCCCCAGCAGCTCCATGACCATGACATTGTAGTCGCCCTCGGCCCCGCACCACTTGATGGACGGAATTCCCACTGCGGCCAGGAAGCGAGACTGTCAGAGGAGGCCCCTCCCGCCTCCAGGGCCTCGCCTGAACCCCCCCACCGCCCCCTCCCTGCTCCACCCCGGCAGACCCGTCCGTCCTGGCCCTCACCTCCTCCCTGCATCATCTTGTAGAACTTGCTCTCGATGTGCAGCTGGGGGTGCTTTGTTTTCACACATTCGAGCTTGATGGCGACTTCTTCACCAGAAGCGATGTTGGCACCTGCCAGGGGTGGGGGGAATCAAAGGTCAGGGTCCCCTCTGCCGGGCGGGCAGCTCTAGGGCAGCGCCAACTCGTGCCTGTGCCCAAGCGGCTGGCCCAGTGCCCCTCGGGGAAGGCGGCATTGGGCTCAGCTCTGTATCCCTGGGAAGCCGAGGGCGCCGTGGGGCACAGAGGGGCACCCACCCAGCTTGGAGACGGGGTGGCAAGCATGACCGCAGCCAGCGCAAGGGGAAGGAGGCGAGGAACGAGGGGCGAGTCACAGAACCACGGGCTGGTGCAGAATAAAGGCCATATTCAAGGAGGGACAGGCAGGGCTACAAAGGCTCCCAGGCCACGGATGGGGAACCCATCCTGGAGGGGGTGGCCATTGAGCTAGAGAGAGGCAAGGCCAGTGGGGGATGGGGCTGCGGAGGCAGAAAACCAAATCCAACAGCACCCCGCCTCAGTGTCCTCAGCTGTGACAATGGGTGGGCAGAGCTGGAGGGCTGGGGGCTCGGCTGGGAGGCCGCCTGCTCCTCCGGCCCGCAGTGACCACAGCCGCTGCAACGAAAACAGCGTGGTCTTTGCACACAGACCGACAGAACCAAAAGTCTAGAGGGCTCGACCGCTGGAAGAATTCAGGCGAGGATGACGCTGGCCCCTCAAACCGGGGCAAAGGATGGGGCTGTGCAAGGAACGTCCCAGCAACGGCTGGCTGGCCGTCTGGGCAAAGTTGCCACGGCCCCACACCCCAGAGGTTTGTGTGAACAATACAGGTGGGGTGTAAGTTGGCGCAGCCACTCTGGACAGCAGGCTGGCATTTATCTGGTTAAATTACATGCACAGGACCAAGCCAGCCAACTCCCAAGTAGGTGCTCTTCCGAACCGTTAGCACCAGGAGCATGTGAGGAGAGCGGACACGGAAGTGACGACCCCATGGCTAACAGAGAACGGCCGATGGCGGCGCGGTCGCACAGAGGAATGCCACAGGGCGGTGACGGGGAGTGACGGCAGCTGCACGCAGCACCCAGGTGGCTCCCCCGGCCTTCACGCTGAGCATGAGAGAGCACAGAGCGGCACCATTCACAAGGGCCAAAAGGCAGCGACAGCCCAGGTGTCCGTCAGCAGATGTACAGACAAAAAAACTGCGCCTACCCAAGCGGTGGAGTATTATTCAGCCCTAAAAAGGAGTGAGGTACAGATACACGCCACAGCATCTACGGACCTGAGAAACACTATGCCCCGCGAGTCAGTCAGACACAAAAGGACAAAATACCGTGTGGCCGCATTATACACATGCCCGGAGCAGGCAGACCCACAGAGAGAGAGTAGGCTGCGGGTGCCGGGGCCTGGGGGCGGGGGGGCGCCTGCCTAATAGGCGCAGGGCTTTCTTCTGGGGAGATGAAAATGTGTCGGAACCAAGTTCGGAGGTCGGTGGCACAGCACTGGGAATGTGCCAAATGGCACTGAATTGTAAACTTCAAAAATGGTTAATTTTATGTTAAGTGAACCTCGTGTCAATTTTTTAAAAAGGGAAAGAGACAAGAATGCAAGCACATTTGTATATGCCTCAATTTCAAAACATGCAAGCCCAGGATATACATAGTTTAGGGATATAAATGTGCGATCAAAGTCTGCCACAAAAGGCCCTGGCTGGTGTGGCTCAGTGGATTGAGTTCTAGCCTGTGAACCAAAGGGTCACTGGTTCAATTCCCAGTCAGGGCACAGGCCTAGGTTACAGGCTGGGCCCCCAGCAGGGGTTGCACAAGAGACAACCACACATTGACGTTCCTCTGCCTCTCTTTCTCCTCTAAGTTTTTTTTTTTAAAGCCTTTTACAAAAGGAAATAGTTTAAAATGCCAACAGTGGTTACCCCTGGGAGGGGCAAGCAGAGGACAGGGCGCATTGGGGTGCCAGGGGTCTCCACAAGTGACAGGCGATCTACCTCCAGCTGGTGGTGGGAAGGACATCTAACACTAACGCACATATTTTACATGTATCCTTTTGTATCTACTTAACATTTAATAAGAAATAAAACAACAAAAATTTTTAAAAAGTCAAAAAATGAAATGTTACCAGGGAGGACTGTCTTTTACCTTTGGGGTAGGCAAGGCTTTTTATCCAACTTAAAGTCATTAAAAAAAAATGTCTCCTCACCTCCAAAAAAGGAATCCCTTCTCCACGGCAAAACACCAGAAGCAAAGTCCTAGGAAACACATAGTTGTAACCCTTCTCAGTAGCAAAGACCTGCTGTTATATTGCTAACATAGTATAACCAGCTTCCTTAACCAGTAGGGAAAAGACCAGACTCAATAGCAAACAGGGTGCAGGGTCTGAACACACTCCACAGAGGGGGGAAAAATCATTAATATAAAATGGCTTACTCCTATAAAAAGGTGCTCTATCTCCTTGTAAGAAAAAATACAAAACGATCCTGAAAGACCATTTTTCACCTACGACTGGCAAAAGTCCCCCCCCACCATAAGATAACCTGCATGTCTGTGGTGGCCTGTGGGGCAGTGGGCATGTTGCCCCAGGGGTCCACGCGTGAATCCACGCATCCCTGCCGGGGGCGTTGGCACCACCCAGCTCCCACTCCGAGTGGCGCAATACAAGGCCTGAGCAGGCTGGCCGCTGTAGACTGTTTGCAACAGTGAAAGCTGGGAAACAACCCAGATGTCCATCATGCTGGGGACTGGTTAAATAAAGAACAGCCCGTCCACAAAATGGAATACAACGGAGAAAGAATGAGGAAGCTCTCTCTGTGCAGAAGTGGAAAGGTCTCAAAGATACAGGAAGTGAAAAAGCAAAGTACGAAACACTATGTAGCCTACAAGCTCTTTTCAGTTAAAAAAAAAAAGAAGAAAGAAAGAAAAGATGCGGAAATAATATGTATCTCTGTGTGGTTTATCTACATAAAGAAACAGTGAAAAGAAACATGAGAACCAGTAATAACTGGACCCAGATGGGTGGGCGGGGAGCAAGGGGAGGGCATCTCTCTGGATACTATGTTACGTGCTATCATTTGTTTCTACACCTCTGTGGAGATATAATTCACATACTATACAATTACTTCTTTGAAGTATACAATTCAGTGGTTTTTAGTATATTCACAAAATTGTGCAACCAACACCACAATCAATTTTAGAACATTTTCATCATCACAAACACCCAGACCCCTGAGCAGTCGGTCACCCTGCACCTCCCCCCAAACCCCCAGCTCCAGGCAACCACTAATTTACTTTCTGTCTCTAGGGAGGGCCTAATTCTGGACCTTTCATAGCAATGGAATCATACAATATGTGGTCTTTTGTGACTGGCTTCTTTCACTTAACAAGTTTTTGTGTTTGGGCTTTTGGTTTTGTGTGTTTTCATTTTTGAGCCACATGAAATGAGACTCAGATTAAAAAAATAAAATAGATTACTATGCCCAGAGAGCAATCGGACAGAAAGTGCTCTGCCAACTATACAGTGCGTTTGACACATCAACACTCATCACTGGGAGGAGCCGCACACGTTTCCAGGGGACAGTGAGGATGTGGCAGGGTGGGGGCTGGGGTCACTGCGGTCGGCTGCTGGCCATGCCTCCTCTGCCTGCCTGCACAAGAGCAGGACAGCGCAGTGGTTAGGACTGTGGGCTCCAGAGCCCGCACCCTGATTCTGCTACCTCCTAACCAGGTGCCCCCACTGCAAACCAGGGATGACAGTACCCAGCTCGTTAGGGTCTTCTGAGGTCTCAACCAGCTTAGCCACATGCCTGGCACACTGTAAAGCGCTCAAGAAACGTTAAGTTCAATGGCCAGTACCAACCCCTGGGCTTCAGAGACAAGCTTGAGTGCCCCCAGGCACATGCAGGACAGACAGTGGACAGAAAGGAAGAGGAAGCAGCACACGGTGGGGAAAGGGACACGTCCCTGGCCCAACAGCTGCAAGGGCTTCTGATGCCTGGTCGGGACTGTGCCAGCCAGTGGCCATAGCACGTGCAAAGGCCCCACGGGAGGGGCGCAGTGAGCTCCGAGTCGTAGCTGAAGGTGATAACAAAAGAGGGGAGCGGGGGAGACACTCGGTCTCCACTGCTGAGCCAAGACCCTGGCCTTTAGCCCGAGGCTCCAGGGGCCAAGGGCAGCTGCCTGAAGACAGGGTTTCTCAGCCTCCGCACCACGGACAGTCTTCGGCGTGGGGGCGGCCCCAAGCCCTCCAGAGTGCTGGGCAGCCTCCCGCCCGCTGACAGCAGTATCACCCCTCCCTCGGGGAGGAACAACCAAAACCGTCTCCAGACCCTGTCAAACGTCCCCCATCGGACAAAACCCCCTTCTCCCCTCACTGAGACCCCCTGGTGCAAGGGCTGGAGAGGACCAGAGTGAGACCCAAGCTGTTGCCCTGCACAGGCGCCAGCAGACGGCGGCCCCGCCCAGGCAGGGCAGGGCCTTCAGCACTTAAGATTGGGCCGAGGTGTGCAGGGCAGAGAGGTGCTGGGGAGAGCGCCCTCCCCAGGTGGCGGGGGTGGAAGGTAGGAGCCCCTTATCCCTCTGAACTCTTGACACCGTCCTGCTGGTACCACTGCTTGCAGAAACTGAAACACCAAAGGTCAGGTGCCGCACAACTACTCTGGGACAAGGGCCCAGCTGTTAGGCAATCTTCTCACTCCCACCAAGTGCTGGAAACCTGTCACAGCTGCCTCCCGCGGTGCGGTGCCACCACCACGCACCCTGCTGCCGCTCTAACTTCCGTCCAGAAGCTGCCTGTCTTTTCTCTGTCTCCCTTGGCTCGTACAACTGCTGCACTGAGGCTCAGAGAGGTTAACTAACTGGCCTGAGGTCACACAGAACTGGCTGCCACAGAGCCAGGATATGAAACTACACCCCAAAGCCCCCACTTTTTTCTGTATTCCAACCCCCTAGCATCTCATTCATTCAAGCAACAGACACACACGGAGCCCCAGGCGGCCGAGGCAGCCCTGCCGGGAGGAGCCTGGCCGCCGTCTGTGGGAGGCACCGAGGCTCAGTGACCGAGAGAAATGCCAGGCGGGGGCGGCAGAGGCAGCCCGTCCGTCAGACGCGGGGGCAGACCAGCCTGGAAAACAAACTCGGACGTGGAGAAGGCCTTGGACCTGGCCAGCCCTAGAGGGCCCGGACCTCGGCAAGTTCTAGGTGGGGAGGGAGTGATCAGCTTCACACTGAGGCCTGCTCGGACGGACACACGGACACACGGACGTGGTCAGGGAGAGGTGGGGGGCGAAGCCTCCCCACAGCCTCCCTGTTGGGGGCACCGCTCCCTCCCCATTTAGAACCAAGGATCAGAGACTAAAAGACCCAGAGTCCGCATGGCATGTGGCCAGCAGCCAGCAGAGCGGGCAAGGCCTGGCCGGCTCTGGACCTCGTGCAGCCAACCTGAGGCCCTGACAAAGCCGGCCCCCTCTCCTGATGCCCCCTCAGGAGGCTGCCGGGAGCGGGGACCGGCCTGAAGGGGACGCCTCTGCAACGTCCTCACCTCCACCCGATCCTGGAAAGCAGGGCCCGCAGGCCACGGCCAGCCCCACCTGCAGAGGCCGTCTGGAGCCAGGCCCTGGCACCGGTGACAAGAACGTGGCCAGAGTTCGGAACAAAGAGAGCCAGCAGGGCCAGCCGGGGAAGCCCTACCATCACCGCTGTCCCCGCGCCAGCAAGACAGTGCAGGGCCCAGGAAGGAGCTGGCAGGACGCTGTGTCAGACGGGGTCCCCGAGGCCCATGCACCTGGCGAAGACCGGACAGACAGGGGACAACTGGCTATCCCCCTCCACCCCCCCTTAACCCAAGAGGACCCAGATCCTTAGACAGAGGCAAGTACCAACTAATTGCCGAGCGACTGCGCGGCGGGGAGGCGTTGAGGGGAGCAGCAGGAAAAGCAGCGCTGCTGGGCCGGACGCGCAGGGCTTTGCGCGCTGTGCTCTCACGGCTCCTCACCACTTGGGAGGCCTCCGCCCCCACTTTCCCGATGGGAAAGCCAGGGCTGGCGCAGCCGTCGCCTGCTCTAGGGCACACAGTTCGTAAGAGAAATGCCAGCCCCCCGACCTCCAGCAGAATTTACTCCAGAGCCTATGCAACAGGAATACATATGGCCTTAGTCTTTAAAGCGAACTATTTAGATAAACAGGAAGTCCTGCCCCCAGGGAGGTCCCGCCCCATGGACCAGGGACACTAGCTTTCTGAGGGACCTTGGCCTACCCTTCCCCCTTTCTGGGGCTCAGTTTCCCTCCGATAAAAAGAAGGCCCCGCACGAGGTGGGTGTCATCTAAGAGCAGGTGTGTGTCTGTACCAACAGCTGCCTCTCCGCACCCTTGCCCGCAAGCGGTTCCGGGCGTCAGTCCTGAGCCCAGGGGCCTCCGTGGTAGGAGGGCGTGAGGATGCTCTACACACGGCCAACTCTCACAAACAAGGCTACGGGTGCCCCATTCCACAGGTGAGAGCGCACAGGCTCAGAGAGTGCGGCTTATCCTGGGCCTCACGGCCACTGAGAAGGAGACCAAGGGGCCTGAACCTGGGCCTGCCCCCGAATCCCAGCCTCCTCCTACCCTGCCCTAAGCGTGGCCGCTTCCTGTGCAGCCTCGTGCAGCATGTGACAGCCATTTATTTCCTCATTCATCCGTCTGAGAAGCTTCACACGACACCTGCTCTGGGCAAGCCACATGCTGCGCACTAGGGACAGGGAGTGGAAACAACTTAATGCCTGCTGTCCCCGAGGAGTCGGGAGTCTCAGACAAACCTTCCAAACAACTGCAGCCCGCACCGCTCCTTCCTTCCGCTCTGAGCGCCAATGGCCTTCCCAGGCTGCCGCGCTACTAGGTGCCCGGCAAAGCGCGGCACGTCCACCGGCACGTCACAGTTCACGATGCTTTCCCATGCCACGCGCCACGTCATCTCTGCCTCGCGCCAGCCCTTGGTCAGCCAGGCATCACCGCCACACAGACCTTGTAGATGGGGACACTGAAGCCCAGTGCAGCCGCACAAAACCAGGCCTGGAACCCAGGTCCCTCCGTTGCCCCTTCCCACGTGCTGTCTTCCATGTTCTGTCCCCGAGGAGGGCTGCGGGCACAAAAGCCACCTTTTCTAGTTTTGGAGAGAAACCTTGGGGGCCAACTTGACCGCGACGCCCGTTTCTTGCTGTGTGAGGTGGGACAGTACCATGCTGTCTCTAGAAGCTGCCGTGACAGGAGACCCCATTCACACAGGGTCCTGCTCAGCACAAAGTATGCACTCAGAGAACGTGTCCACCCCCGCCCTGTCCCCTCTGATGGGGGAGGGGGTGGCTCACTGACTTGGCAGTCTCCTCCCCCCAGGACAGGACACAGGGACGGGGGCGAGGGCCAACCCGGAGGCAGGCCACCGGGCTCTCACAGCTCCAGTTCACGATTACCAACACAACGCCGCCACTGCAAACCAGCAACAGCAAAGGAAGGGCCCTGCGTCCTGATCGTGCCCCTCGGGAGGCTGAAAAGTGGATTCGAAGGCATGAGTCTCTATGTTACTCCCGGACAAAGACGGGGGTGAGATGTCAGTGACTTGTTTAAAACAACAAAACAAGCACAAACTCAGACTTTCAACAGGAAGCACATCCGGGGAGAGGGAGAGATCCTAAAACCTAAGACCCCTGCCTCCCCTGAGGCTGCGGGGGGAGCCTGCAGCATTCCTAAGCCTGAGACATTCCGAAGTCTGCCTGGGCTGAATTCCAGGAGGCCGGACCACAGGGAGGGACCAAGCCGGGGCTACCGGTGGCCTCGGCCTCTCTGTCCACAGCATCCTTCTCCCAGGAGACAAGAGATGAGGTGCTCACCCAGCCTGGGCTTTCCCACTCCCGGCTGGAGACCCAGGGCATCCACAGCTGGAACCAGAGCTAAAAATCCCCTGCCCTGCCCAGCGGCAGCAGGCAGGGGCCCTGCCGTCTGTGTGAGGAGCCCCTCGGCCTGCCTCATCCCGACCTGCCGCTCCCATCCCCGCCAGGGGCGGGGGGGGGGGCCCTAGAAACAAAAGGACAGAAACATGCCACTGCAGCCCCAGAGCCGAGTTCTGACGTCAGAGCCCGAAATCCTGGCATCCGTCCTCTTCCTTGTCCCCAAAGTTGTCCCAGGGGCTCCAGAACCACTGAGCCGGAGCCAGGCACACTTACCCAGGTAGATGTCTCCAAAGGATCCACTCCCGATCTTCCGGCCCAGGCGGTACTTGTTCCCCACACGGAGCTCCATGGTTCAGGCTCACTGCGGAGGGAAGCAGACACGCTGGGGTCAGGAAAGCAGGGAGCTGGGTCCCCTTCTTCCCCCGCCAAGGCCACAAGGAAATGGGAGATCAGCATTGTCCCTGCCGCCATCCAGGAAGGGATCTGGCCTCGCTCGGCCTGAGGTCAACCAGGTGTCATCAGGTGGCCCCAGAGCCTCTGCGTGTGGGTAATGGCTGAGGCAGGCTGGGAACAGGTGTTGGTGGAGCCTGAGCCGGGCACAGGGTGGAATTGCAGACAAGGCCTGGGAGGACACTTGGGGGACCCTCCAATAGGAACCTCTCAGGGGCAGCCCAGTCACAATGGCCCAAGACCCTAAAAGGGAAATCAAGGACAGAGGGAGTGACGGGGAGGGAGGATACAGGAGCTAATCGTCCTGGGGGTGCTACCATGGCAACCAGTAGCAAGTTCCAACCTCCGAGGATGGGAGAACAGGCTGAACAGAAGGCCCCTAAGAAACCCCTCAGCCGCTTTAGGACTCAGAACTCACTGAGCCTCCGTGGCTCCATCCCCACCTCAGGCTCCAGCGCCAGGAACCAGGGGCCAGACCTGCCCGTTTGCCGTGTGCCCCACAAGAGGGACATCAACTCCTCCTCTCGACCTCATGCCACCAAGACGTCACACAGGCCGCTCTGGACCTTTTCCTTTGGATGGCCTGTTTGGGACTGGACGCCTTCAAGGCTAGAATGTTCAGGAGGGTCTTCTAAGAGGGCAACTGAACACACAAAGGGACCAAAGCCAGGTTCTTGGCCTCCAGCTTCTGAGCTTCTGTGGGGTGGGGGTGGGGGTTGGGGTGGGGGCAGGGGGAGAGGAGTGCCGATCTGAACGACGACCCCATGTCCTGTACCCCAACCGGGTGCCCCCGCCTGTGGGTCACCAGAATCCCAGCAGAGACCCCTCTGCTCTCGCCTGCGACAAAGGTCTGGGCACCACTGGGTCTGCCAGCAGAAGGGGAAACTCCACGGCGGGTGGCGGTTTCTGCTGCGGGGGAGGGCGACGGTGGACTATGACGTTGGGAGAGGGACAGGGGACCCCTACCACCTGGGAGTGTCTGCAAAAGGAAGACTCTCAGGAGGGGTCTGGTCTGCAGACAGGGAACTAGGCCCCAGAGAGGCCATGCCCCCCCGCCCCCCCCCCGCAGCAAGCCAGTGGCAGTCCCCTCACCTATGGCCCACACAGGGTTCTTGCCTCCCCACCTGGCGGCCCTGCACCCTCACCAGCAAGGACTCATTTCATGCCAGCCCTGGCAGTCAGAGGCGCCGTGCCAGGCACCAAGGCTCCGCCCCTACCCCATGCCAAGCGCGAGCCCCCAAAGCCAGCGCACGGGGAAAGGGAGGCAAGAGAGGTCTAGTCTGCAGATGGTCAGCCTGGAGGCCTCCACCGCACAGAGGCAAGGCGCCAGGAACTCCTGCCCGAGACACGTCCAGCCCCAGCACCTGGCGCCCAGGGAGCCAGCCACCAGCCCTTCCCCAGTGGCCACAAGGAAGTAGCCTCCACCCCAGGACTGCCAAACTCTGGGCTCTTTACCAAGGGCCTCTGCGTCCACGCCTGGCCGGTCCCAGCTGAGGTGCCAGGGCTGCCAGCTGCACACAGTCCACAATCGCCGGAAGCCCACACACCACATACCTCGCATCCCCACTGTCCCGTGTGTACACGCCAAAACAGAAAGCAAGCAGGCGCACACTGCAAGCCCCCCCCACCCTGCGCCCCGCCACCCGCTGCTGCGGAGGAGGGGGGGCAGGCGCGGGTGTGTACACACACAAACACCCCTCCCCAGTCTGTGCTCCGCCAACGCGGATTCAGAGACCACACATGGTAGCCGGGGAAGCCGCAGGTTCGGCAAGGAACATAAATACACCCGCATCCTATATTACATAAATACCCACGCCGGGTTATATAAATACCCGTGCCCTCCGTCTGGGTGTCTTACATAAATACACTGCACATGACCCCCAGCCCCTCCCCACTTACTGGGCCGCCTCAGGGCAGAGGAGAGGAGAAGGTACGACCCGCGGACCCTGCAGGAACCGCTGCTGCTCCGTGTGGCCGCCCAGACCCCAGGCAGACCCCAGGCAGAGCCCAGACGGCCCCAGCACCGCCACCGCCGCCCCGAAAGCCTCCCCGAGGAGAGGAGAGGAGAGGAGAGAGGGTTGAGTCGGGAATGGGAGAGGCTCTCCAGTTCTTCGCTGCTTCTCCCATGGGGGGGGGGGCAGGGGCGGGGAAATGAACGATTAGGGCCAGCACGAAGACTCGGGAGTTTCGGCTAGTTACAACAATGAGACAAACTCCCCAGCAGCACAGCACATGGGCAGCTTCCTTAGACCCTGCGCCCCACTGCGCGCCCCTGCCAGGGCCCCGGTCACTGGACCATTAAAATAAAAACCGGAGACGTCCTAGGCAGAAGGCAAAGGGGCCCCAAACACAGGCATTTCGATACTCTGGATCCCCTTCTTCTCCCCGGGGGAGGCTGCGCCAAGAATAAAATACGCAAGAAAACTCAGGGAAAGTTGGGGAGGGGGTCACCCCCTTTGAGTTTGGGCGTGCAGAGGAGCTTGGGAATCCTCTCTCCGGAGGCAGCCGGCGCACACAGAGTTTTCTGTTCCACAGAGACTTGCAAAACACGGATTTCTCACAGGCAGCCACGGAGAATCCGATCTGACAAATCACCCCCACCCCTTTCTTCCTCTCCACAAAGGAAAACAGCACCGGCGGCCGGGCGACTACACACCCCCTCATCTCGGGGGCCCCGGGCGCCCCCATCCCACCTGCGGGCGCCACCGGCTGACCCCCAGGTCCGGGGCGCGGGGCCAGGAGAGAAGGGGACGCGCTGCGGGCTGTCCGGTGAGACAGACAGACAGGAGCCCGGGGTCTAGGCGGACGAGCAGGAGTCAACAGTGTCGGGCGCCCCCGCAACGGACTCCCGCCCTCCACGTACCCAAATCACAACCCCAGGTGGCCACCTCGGCCGGCGGGGGCCTTGAAGGGTCCAAGCTGGGGGAGGGGGAGGCAGGCCGGCCGGGGGCTCCCTCCCCGCTGCAAGGCTGCAAAATAATAGTCACCCTCCTCCTCCTCCTCCTCCGCCTCGGCCTCAGCCGCGCCTTTGTCCTCCCGGCCGAGCGGGCGGCGCCCGGGCCGCCCCCTCCCCCCGCGGTTCCCGGCGCTAACGAGCGGTGTCCGCCCTGCCCTCCCCTCCCCTCCCCTCGCTCTCGCTCAAAAACAAAGAGGCGGAGGGAGCCCGTTTCCCCCCGGGTTTGCGCCCCTCTGCGAGCCCCCGGTCCCCCAATATTTACCCCGCTGGGAAGGCGCCGGTGCCCGGCCGCTGCTCGGGGGGCTGCCGCGAGCGGGGGCGGCCCGCCGGGCCGGATGCCGGAGGATTCGTGGAGCCGCCGGCGTGCCAGCCTCTCCCGGCCCAGCCGCCACCGCCGCGGTCCGCTCCGCTCCGCTCGGCCCCGGCCGGGCTGTGGCTCTGGGCTCTCGCCGCCGCCGCCGCCTCCCTCCACCGGGCCCTCCAGCCCGCCCGCCCCCGCCGCCGGCTCGCGCTCCCGCCCGGCGCGCGCCCGCCGGCTCCCATTGAGCCCCGGGCCCGCCCGCTGATGTCATCCCCGGCCCGCCACCGCCCCGGAGGATTTAAAGGGCCCGCGCCCTCCGCTTCTGGGGACGCTGCGGGGCCACGGCAGGGAAACACGGCCCCCCAGCCGTGCCAGGAGCGCCCCGCAGGAACGTGGTCTCCGGGCGCGGCCGGGGAGCGCACCCAGACACGGACGGCCTGAGAACGCGGCGCGGGGGTGTCAGTGGGGAGGGTGCGCAAAAAGCTGGGGTGTCCTAGACCCAAAGCCTTCCTCGCGTCCCCTCGCCCCCCGCCGGGCCCCCTTTTCCTCGCAGCGTAGCAGTGGCCCCACCGAAGGCCAGTGGATACGCGTTACTGCAGAAGGAGGTTTAGAGAGTTGGGGTTCACCCTGACTTCGGGCTCGTGAGTGCTGCAGAGACCACAAGCCAAGTTGATTCCGGGCGAAAGATTTGACAAGAAGACAAGAGTTGGAAGGACGGTGACCAAAGGTCCAGGAAGGTAACCAGGGCTCAACTACACCTCCTCCCTCGCCCCCACCCCCCGTGGAAAATTCAATGGCAAAGACCTTTTTCTTAACCCTCTGCTCTCTTCCCGCGGCTCACGCGGCGATGGGCACACAGCAGCTCCCACCCTATTCTCGTTCTCCCCTGTGTAGTGAGGGACCCCACACACTGTCTTGGAGCCAACGCTTGAGTCCGGGTGCTGAGCTCTGGGCTTGCAGGGAGGGCCCTCCCTCCAGGGGTCACAGGGAGAATTAATTCAGGTTTCCTACCGGCCTGCAGAGTAGCCATGAAAGGTTCCTGGGCAGAGTTATTAAAACAGTGATATTTACACTGGCCCATGCAAAGCTCCGGATTATGACCCACATCCATTCACACACACAATTGCGACTGGACACACAAACTGCCAAGTGCACTGTATCCAACCCCGGAAGCACGGCTCCTGGGAAGAGTCACTTCCATAATAACTGCATCTTCCTTTGAGCCTGAGGGACTTAGTCACACGCTGTCCAGACTGGTGGGAGCCCCACAGACCAGGCTGGCTGTCACAGAGCAGGAAGCTGGCCCAGACAGGGGAAGGGCTTTGCCCAGGAGCAGGCAGCACAGCAACATGGCTCTGTCCCTGCAATGGTCCCCAGGATGCGGTGTCCGTTAGGAGCTCACGTCCAAGAACAGGAGGAGGCAGGACAAGCCCCCAAGGAGAGGCCTGCACCAGCCACCTGGGGGCCTGTCTCAGTGCCACCTTAGCCAGAGCAAGGGCAAGGGGCACCAGCCAAGGTGTCGGGCTTTGCTTTGGCCTGCCTGGTGTTCTCTGTCACTTGTTTTGTTCATCGACTCCCAGTGTTTTAAAATGGAAAGATGTCATATCACAGGTCCATATTCTCTACTTCTCTTGAAGCCCTGGGAGAACCAGCAACGCTGGGCCCAAACTCACACTGGGCCCTGGCCGCACCCAGCTGGCCGGGGCGGCAGCCACGCTCCTGGTTCCGGCCCGAGGGTCCCATCCTGTTTCCTCCCAGCAGCTTGCTTTGCCCACATTTAGACCTCCCTTCATCACCTTGGAGGTCCCCATGTGCGACCCTGTCCTAGAGGCCAGCCCTTCTCTTTGCCATATGTTTTCATGCCACCCTCACTAACACTGGATCCAGTGTCCACTGCCAGCATCCGGGGACGCCAGCCCTCCCCAAGGCCAAGTGTTCTCCTGAAGTGACATATGTGCCCAGGCTAGGGCCCAGGCCGAGAGACCCTGGCACGCTGAGCAGGGGCGGAGTGCACCCCTGCATCCCCCACCTTCCAGCCTGGGTCCTGCTTCTCAATTACGGGCCCTCCCCGCCTGAAAGGGACTAGTACTTCTGCCGCACCTACGGAGCACCTGGCACAGGGCGAGGTGGTTATCTCAGTTAATCCTCTCAAATGACAGCAGATTAAATCCTACTCCATTCTTTACAGAGAGGGAATCGGAGGCTTGCCCCAGGGCACACATTAACTGTCAGCTTCCCCTCCCAATCTTGCCCCAGGTTCCCCTCCCCATTCCACAACGTGTAACCACTATCCCCACCCACCCCCAGGCTGATCGAAGGTCCTGGCCCCATCAGTTCCCTGGGCCAACCAGTTTTAAGGCTCGCTCCTCTCCCACAAAGGGCTGCTCCCTGTCTCTCTTTTGCTGTCCCCACCCACCATCTCCCTTGGGAAAAGCTTCCCAAACCCCACCCCTGATTAGCTGTGCTGTGGGCCCAAGTTATCCTCCTTCCTTCCTACCCACTTAAAGTCCAACCCATGGGTCCTTCTAAAGAGCTTTGCAGCTCACCTCTAAGGAGAAACACAAAAGCCAGCCGAAGAAGTAAGACAAAGAAATCGCTCAGGCTGCTGGCGTGAGCGCTGGATTGAGCGCTGACCTGCAAACCAAAGGATCGCTAGTTCGATTCCCAGTCAGGGCACATGCCTGGGTTGCAGGCCGGGTCCCCGGTTGGGGGTGTATGAGAGGCAACCACACACTGGTGTTTCTCTCCCTCCCTTTTTCCTTCCCTTCCCCTCTCTCTAAAAATAAAGCCTCTGGGCCTGAGGCCTGACTTCTCTCCATGTACCTGTTTCCTTGGCACCTCAGAGCACTGGGCTGGGGATCTCAGGGACAGTTTTGCAACTCTCACATCAGGAGGATGTCACAGATGAAGGCAGTGATGGGGAGAAAGATTGCAGCAGTCCCAAAGGGACCGACACTTTCACTACACAAGTCCTTAAACAAAGTCGGCACCACCTGTCCCCGGGGGCCTGTCCCCCAGCCTCAGGGCCCCCGCCCTGGCTGTCCCCATGGCCGGGTACCTTTTCCCTCAGGTAGCCCTTGCTCATTTCCTTATTGCCTTCTGGTCTTGCATCTCAAGTCACGTTGTGGAGATGCCTTCTAGGAATCCCAGCTTAAGATTCCAACCTCCCTAGGGCACTGCCTCCCCTCTTCCCTGCATTTAGCACACTGTCTAGCATATTCTATATGGTACTCATTTGATTTTGATTTTTTTTTTTTTTTTGGTCTGAGTCTCCTGCTAGAATGTAAGTTCATGAAGGCAGGGAGTTAATGCTATTTGGGGGCACGACTGTGCCACCGGCAGCAAGCACAGCGTCTGGCACGTAGGCCGTATTCAACAGCTACTTGCTGAATGGGTGAATGGGTGAACTGTGAAGGGACAGCCTCCACTCCCCGACAAAACATTAAGAACTATCATTTTATTGAGCGCCTACTGTGTGCCAGGCCCTCTACGAGACATGTCACCTGCACTGACTCATTCAACCTTCACGTCCACCCTCAGTGGAGGTAGTGGCCCTGCAGAGGCTGCGCTGAACCGCGCCCCCCAGGCTAGTGGAGGACACAGTTCTGGGGTGAGTCCCCATCCCCACCCAGGCTCTGAGCCCCTCTACTGCAGAGGCAATTCTGGGCGCCAGTCAAGAGTCACGGGGCCCATGGGGCTCCTTCAGTCCAACTCCATCGTCTCACAGGCAGGGGGACTGAGACCCAGGGGGCCTTGCTCCAGGGGTCAAGACGGGAGCCTGAGACAGCGGCCCTGGTGGTTAAGAAGCTGCCTCCAAGCCCTGGCCGGTGCGGCTCAGTGGATCGAGCGCCGGCCTGCAAACGGAAGGGTCGCCAGTTTGATTCCCAGTCAGGGCACATGCCTGGGTTGCGGGCTGGGTCCCAGGTTGGGGGTGTGCGAGAGGCAGCCAATTGATATATCTCTTGCACATTGATGTTTCTCTCCGTCTCTTTCTCCCTCTTTCCCCCTCTCTCTAAAAATAAATAAACAAAAAAAATTTTTTTTTAAAAAGCTGCCGTTACTGTCCAAGGCCGACTCTGCCCCGTTTAGCTGTGTGACCCCAGGGGAGTCCCTTAAATGCTCTGAGCCTCATTTGTGAGTGGGAATAACACAGATGGTCATCCGCCAGAACAACCCAGCCCAGAAGGAGCCCTGCGTAGGAGGCAGGTGTCGATACTATTTCCAGGCTGAGGGGCAGACAGGCAGTGAAATCCAGCCAGGGGACTTGGTTCCTCCTAGCACCACAGGCTGTCTCCAGCTTCTTCTTTCCTTGCTCTACCTTCCCCGGGAGGAGCCCCCACCAGCCCCTTCGAGGCGGGGTGGGTTGGAGGTACACAGGCCTCTGTGGCCCAGGGGAGCCACTGGCCAGGCCCCCCTCTGCCTTTCCCTGCAGCCTTGGTTCTGGCAGGCCCCTGCAGGAGGTTGCTCCGGGGTCTTCCTCTTCCCAGCTGCTGCTCCTCCGTGAGATCCTCCCAGCCCCGCCCACCTGAAGAGGCCGCCCTGGTGCATCCCCCAGGCCCTCCGGTGATGTCCCACCCACCTCTGCCCGCCCACCGGTGCCTCCGCCTCCGGGGCCGCTCCAGGCCGCGCTCCTTTCCCACGCTTGCTTCTCCCGGGTGGCCTCGCCACATCGTCCTGTCTGTTCAGATCGTTCCCCAGCGGTGGGTCTTCCCTCCTCCTCCGTCTTCAGCGCTGGAGAGGCAGCAGGGCCGGGTAGCCAGGGGCCTGGACCAGGGGCCAGGAGGCCTAGTCGGAAGGCCGCTCAGCCAGAGTCTCTGCAGGGACTGGGAGGATTCACAGCCCCTCTCTGGGGGGGGCTGGCCAAGGAGACCTCCCAAGCTCTTTCTTCAGCCTCCGCATCTGTAAACTAAGGCCTGGACTGGATGCGGAATGGCCTATACATTCCATGGCCCGGTACTTGGTTGAGAAAGATCCTGAGGTCACACACATCTGGGCTGGGGGAAAGGGTCCGTACCGCACCCCACCCCCACATTGGAAACGTGCATGTCCCATCATCCGCTCTGCCTCCCAACTACATGCTGAGCCCGGCCACCTCTCACTTGCTCACCTTTCACTTGGAGACTACGGAGGTCTGTCCATGGGTGAGACCACATGCCTCTGCCACTGAAAAGCCACCAGCG